GTCCAGGGCCGGTCCTTTGTGGGACCGATGCAACTCTAATGCACTTTGCAAGAATTTCTCATTAAACTTCTATTATAATACTCTTGGACCAGAAGAAGAAAAAGCATTAGCTGATACACTTTGCAAGAACTCCTTAATAACGTTAAATCTCACTTATAATAAACTTGGATCAAAAGGTGGAAAAGTATTAGCTGATGCTATTTCATATGAGCAAACTACTTCAAGTCGTATTTTGGTTGCTTTGTATAAGAATTCAGAAAGTATACCACCAATAGAGTCATTTCAAGAAGATGAAGCATTTGTTAATTTGAATTCACAAGATTTACATTTACAAATATTTTTAAATAATAACCTTGGAGTAGATATTTCACTTAACATAAGTTGCACCAATACTTACAAAAATGTATCTACAGTCAGACCTCTCTAAATGCATTCTCCCTAAATGTATAACCTCCTTAAATACATATCAATTTTCTGGCCCAAATATATACTAAACCTCTATAAATGCATTTTTTCTTATTGTTCTCTTAATGCATACCCCCAAAAGTTTGGTTCCAATGATATGTACTTAGAGAGGGTTAACTAATTTTATCCGCAGAAATAAGATTCAATATTGAACCTAGATGCCGCACAAAAAATGCGCGGCAGATCCTCGGTTTTGATTGGCCAAAAAATTAAGCCAGAATTACTCATAATTTTACTAATTAAATCGCAGCCGCCTATTAAGTGAAAATTGTTTCTGGGTCAATTTTACCATAATGCGTACTTATTTTTTAAAAATTTATTTTTGTAATGAAAAAATTAAAAAGTTAACTCCGGCCGAAATTTAGTAAACAATTTTGTAATATGGACCAAAATTTCAAAGATCTTTGGCCGTTGGCCAATCAAAATCGAGGATCTGCCGCGCATTTTTTATGTGGCACCTAGGGTAAATAAAAATACATCGACCTCTAAATTTTAATTGGTTTAATTCAGATATAAATTTATTACAACAAATAGCAAGTCAGATAAGTTTAATGGAAGAAAATTTAAAGAAAAAAATTGAAATTAAAGTTGAAACTAAAAATCAAATATTAGCAAATACTTCTCATAGTATAGTATAAATTTTAAAACATTATTATCTTTGCATTTTGGTTGATATTTAATTTTTGATTTTTTAATTATTACAATCTTATTTTTCTTATCAAAGAATTACGAACTCCACTAGGAGCAATAATGGGCTTCTTTCTTCCTTTGATGATGGAAATCTAAGTGATGAACAAAGAGAAATGATTGATTTAATAATACGAGCTTCTGACTCTGCATTATTAATGGTTAATAATACTCTTAATGCTGCAAAATTGGAAGCGCACAAAATTGATTTAAAAAATTTGACATTTGATTTATTAAATTTATTTGAGAAAGTAATTGAGCAATTCATAAATGAGCAAATTGAATTTGGTTTTAAATTATGATGTGGAAAACTTAGCAAGGTATGTTAAGAATGATCATAATAGGTGTTTTAATCTTTATATCTGTTTTTTTTTAAAAAAAATAAACAATAGATGCAAATTTCCTTACTTTATAACTCTTCTATTATATAGACTAAAACAAGTCTTATTTTACTTATTGTTAAATTTATAATTATATTTTTATAATATTGTTTCATTGTAAATATTCATATTCTATTTCAATATTCTATTCCTATACATAATTTTGTTGTTATTCATTCTGGATTAAATTTACCGAGAAAGGTAAAGGCATTAATGAAGATATAAAAAATCAGACTTACGGTCAAAAAACTATTTGTTGATTAATTATGTGACAATGGCATTGGGTAAGCTAATTACCATATTTTGATCGCCAAAGTACCCATGTGATGCAATTTTTTTACAATTGAAAAATTTTTAATCACGAGTATTACACATCACATAATGTATAAATAATATTTTAAAAATTGATCTATGTTATTTGTCACACCGAGTACTTTGGCGAACGAAATACGGTATAATTAACATATTTGGAAATAATTTTCATGAATGGACATATCACTTACAAGAAATAAGATGGTATAGGACTTGGCCTTTCAATTTGTAAAAATTTAATAGAAATTAATGCAGATGTTAAAGTTGAAAGCCAATTAGAAAAAGGTGTAAATTCATGTTTACATGGAATATTGATCTATTACCATCAAATACACCACTTAATAAGCAAATTAGTTATACACTACTATATTATAAAGAATATTATAATTTATAGAGTAGAAATTGCAAGGAATGCAATATTAAAATATCAAAATGGTTAAACAGTTAGTGTTGTTTCTTAGAGTAGATGTGTTTTTATGTAATTTTTTTCCTTCCTAATATTATAAATAATGCTGGTTATGCTGATGTACTCTCGATAATTATTATGTTTATTCAGGATCATAATTAGATTAACACATGATATCTGTAATAGGATTTGATATGAACGACCATACTATGCATCACCATAGATCAGAGTTGATAATAGAACCAATGGAGTTAAATGGTTATATGAATGGTGCTTAAAAAACAAGTATCTATTGGCTCTATTCAGAGTTCCATTGGCTCCATTTGCAGCTCCATTGCCGACCCTGCCATAGACCGCTTTTTGTAATATGGCCTCCCTACTGATAATTTTAAATTTTTAATTTTTTTTAAAAAAAAATGTTCAAAAAGAGTTTAATTTATGCATCAGATTGAAATGCATATCATAAATATAATAACGAAGACAAAACAGAAACACAATAAAACATTATATTGTTTGCATTCTTTACAATAATATATTGCTATCTTAATTTAACAATTATAGAAATTCATTTAGTTCTCATACCAAAAGTCTATCACCAAAAGAAAAATCAATAAAACAGCAAAAAATTTTTAATTAATAAATATTGTATTATACTGCATCAGCGCATATTTTTATTTTTATAATTGAGTTAGAGATTAATATAAAGATTATTTAAGTACCATATTAAATAATTAATATTGACATGTAAGATTAATATATTTATTGTGATGAGTATATCGGCAAAAAAAAAGATTCTTTATAAAATTTTAATACTGTATATAGTACAAACATCCATAACCAAAATACTAAATTCTAACTTTAAAGAGCTGTTAGAATGATTTTATAATACAAACATTTTCATCCTACACTAACCATTAGAGTTCCAATCTGTTAAGGATAATTATCAGATATCAGGATCTGAATTTATTCAGATATTAGTTTACTATTGATATCTAGATAATTATTTAGATATCCGGATATCTGAGTAATCTGAATTATCTGAATAATTCAGAAATGGATGATGGATTTATCTGGATTGGAATTTTTCTAACTATAAAGAGATGTTAGAATTATTTTAGAATAAAACCTTTCTCATCCTAACACTAACCATAAAGAGTTGTTAGAATGATTATTTTGCTTTATTTACTGTACTATAATTATTGTTTTTATGTTACACTGATAATTGAAAAAAACTCACTTGACTGCTGTCTTCTTTTACATATTCAAGGAAGTTTTAGAAACTCTGATAATTCACCATTATCTTGCAGGGTATAGCAATAGAGAAATTAAAATCTAATCCATTGTTTAATAATGAGTCTAATATTTGGTAATAATGATAAAATAAAATTAAATATATATATTAAAAAATCATTTTTTTACCAGTTTTAAAATTCACAATTTTGATTGGTCAATCAATGAATTCGAATTTACTCAATCCAAATTATAACCAAATTCATGGAAGAAAATCCGAATTCAATCCTGAGAAATTAGGATTGAAGCTCTAATTTTTACATAACTGATAGTAGAAATCTCAATAATTCAAATACACACAAACTCAACTGCAATGATTAATAGAAAAAAAACAGGGGCATGATAGTGCCCCATCTAATCCTGTAAGTATATAAAAATTTTCATTTACATTTTTGAAATCAGCTATAACAATATTTGAGTTTTATGACTATAGAAGAAATTATCCAGTTTATTAAACTATTAAATTACAAACTTTGATTAAGTAACGATCCAATTACTGTATTTATCTACATGCTGATATAGCAATCGAAATAAAGTTAGATTATAATAAATTTTTGGAATTTAGAATTTATTCCTTATTTATTGGTTAAGGTAATTAAAGCATGTCCATTTTTATTTGACTTTTTATTTTGATTATCATAATAGCAATTTGTTGGTGATAAGCTATTGCACTTCAATTTATTTATTTATACTTTTTTTGAACCTGTGAACTATATTTGTATATTCTGTAGAATTTATTAATAAAATATTTATTAATCTTTACTATTATTCTCATTAATTTGTTGGTGAGTATAAAGTTATTTAATATTTAAATTTAAGTGTTTTGTAAATAGAGTAAAAATAACTAATATGAAATTCTAATTTAATGAATAAAGAAATCTAATTTGAGAAAATTTGTATAATGTGATAAAGACATCACAAATAGAATATAATAGTCCAAATTCAACATTTCAAGGATTGATAGAGGAGATGAAATATTGACAATTATATGAAATAATCTCAATTTGAATAAATATACAACTTAATTAATATCATTTGATAGACTTAAAAAAATTAATGTGAATTAACCCAAGTAGCATGCAGAGCCCTATTTTCATAGGGTTAATTAGAGATGAGTGTTCCCTCTAAACATCTAAACCAATGGATTAGGCTTTGCTTTTGTGAGTATCAAGGAATGTGTACAATTATTTACTAAGTTGTAACTATCTACTCATGTTTATTTAGTATTTTTATACTTAAGTTTATTTATTGACTTGTTTATATATATGTATTTATAGATTTATATAAATATATATTTTTATTTAGGCAATCGAAAAGATGTTATCTTTATTTATTATACTTTTGCTATTTATACTTTTCTACTAATTGCTCAATTGATGCTATTATTCTATATGACTACACTGTTAATGTGATTAATCTAATAAAATGATTATATTGGTTATGCAAATTGATCACACCACCTATTTTGACACTTGAATTACCAATTTACTTATTATATCATATACTCTTCTCTGATTTCCTCTAGTCACTGGATCAGTAACTTATTACCCGATTCCAAGTCACATGTATATTAATAAAATTCATGATACTAGCTATACCCCTTAGATCACTGTCCTCAGGATCTACATCTAAATCTTTAGCACAATCGTCATTTTCATTTAAAGCTCTTAATTTAAGCTTTTTAACTTTATTGTGTGTGACAAATTCCTTAAAAGGACTTCTATTGATTTCGTTAATATAGAATTAACCTTTATTACCAATATTTCTAATAATGTATAGTCCAAGCCACCAATAATCAAGCTTTTTCAATAAGGCTGTATTGAGTATAGAATCATATAATAATACAAGATCTCCTATATTCACTATCTCTTTTACTTTAGCATGTTGGTTGTGAAAGTGTTACTAACATTGATAGAGTTTATCTCTATGTGTTCTTGTCCAATTCAAGTCAGCTACTACAGTCTCGGATATTACCAAATTTGGACAATACAGATCACATCCTTTTTTGTATATTTGGAAAATTTTTAGTACTTCTATTTAAGTCTATAGCTATTCTATACTAGTCTATGAGGCTAAATTTACACCAATCACATTTGTTTACTAATTTGATAAACAATTACCTTATAAAGCTTCTGGGATTATAAAGGATCTCTAGACTACATATCTTTAAAACTATTTATATTAGAATTAATTTAAAAGTTTATTATTAATATATCCATGATCCCACTACTAGTTATTTTAATATATAAATCAATTCTAGAGTATTTTTACTATATTATAAATCGATTTTCATACTGTATTTGATAATATTCAAGACTGTGCTACATTTTTAACTTAACGAGTTCAATATTCCAAGAGTTTCTCTGTGATCTATTTTCTTTTCCCCATATATACTTGGTAACTTTCTAAAGTTAACACTACTAGTATTATTGCATTGCGTCCATATAACAGGTAGAATAGGAAATAACCCAAATTTGTCACTGTAATATTAATAGCCTACACCACACCTCTAACATACTCATACCATTTATTTTGCTTTTTAGTATAAATTTTTCTCAATATATAGAAAATTTTCTGCACTGTTCATTCTACTTGACCATTTGCTTTGGGATAGTAACTAGCAATGAAGTGTTGATCTATATTCAAATGAGAAGTAAGTTCTTCAAGTATACCATTTTTGAATTCTGTTTCCTAATCTGACACTAACACAGAAAAACATTCATATTGCATTATTATATCTTCCTAAACAAACTTGGCAATACTTTTGGCATTTTTCTTTTGTAATAGCTGAGCTTTCATATATCTTATCAGATCCTCTATAGTGACTACTATATAGAAATGACCAGTAGTAAACTTAGGTAATAGTTCAGTACAATCCACATATACTTTATAGAAATTTCAACTCATCCCAATAACATGAATTGGTTTTTTGGTCACTTGTTCTCAATAGTGTTAACAAATCAGGCAAGTAGATATATACTCTTTCATATTACTATAAATATTTCTACATGCCTATTTATACTTTTGAAGTATAGCTTTAACAGTTCCATGCACATCTCTATGTTCCTCTTTCTCTGATATTCCTTCATGACTAGTAGCCAAGATTGAATTCTTTTCTCTATCATTATTTATAACCCTTTGCAGAGATAAATTTCTTTTTTCTCTTTCAAATAGTACATTATTGATCAAGCAAAATCTTTTTATCTTTCTCAGTAAATGTGGTTAATTTTTGGTTTGCATTGTTCATCTCCAATGAAAGTTTTTTAAGTAATATTCATTTTCTCTTAAATCTTTTACAACAGGGTTATCTATATCCATATGTATCAACATCCTCTCAATAAACTGTTTATCAGTAATCTTTTCATTCTTAATTTCTTCAGGATGCCTCGACAATCCATCAGCATTCCTGTGTTTATAACTAAGTTTGTAATATATTCCAAATTTGAAAGCCTGTAGAGCTAGAACCCATCTTATTAAGCGTCTCTTCAACTTGATCTTATTAAAAAACCACTTAAGAGATTGATAATCAGTCAAATATCAAATATTATAACTTCAACATATCTCTCATTTACTTTGCAACTATACACTATAGCTAAGCACTTCTTTTCTGACATAGTATAATTAACCTTATGATTTTTAATTTTTGTGAATCAAAACTAACTGGCCTTGTATTTTCTTTGTTATCTAATTGTTCAAGGACCACTTCAATAGAAATATTACTGCATCAGATAGGTACATAACCCTTCTTTTGCCTTTTGCTAATTCAGGTCTTTCAGAGTTATATCTTGGATAATTATATCTTTAAGTTTTTTAAAAGTAAAATCTTGTTTATTATTCTATTGAAACTTAATTTCCTTTTTCATTAACTCAGTCAAAGGCATGGCTATTTTGCTAAAGTTTTTTACAAATATTCGATAATAGTTTATAACACTGAGAAATAGCTATTTTCAGTTTTGTTAGTAGGTCTTGGCCATTTTGATATTTTGTTTATTTTTTTGAAGTTAATGTGTATATCATTTTTACTAATCAGGTATCTGTATATCAGAATTTCTTTATATAATATGTAGCACTTTTTTTGTGGCAAATGTTATGTCTGCTTCTTTAAAACATTTAGCAAGTCTTATAAAGACTTCTATGTAATCTTCAACATTCCTATTAGCCAAATTTTTTATTATCCTGGTAAGCTGCCACTTCTTTCTATTCATCTCTTTTTAATAGTTTATCTATTAATCTCTAATATGTTTTACTTGTGGTTTTCAACCCCATACACATTACTATATATCTCAATACTTCTAATGATATTGAAACTGCAACCATATTATGGTCTTTCTTGCAGATTTTTATTTGCCAATAGCCTTTGAAGGCATCCACAGTGCTATACCACTCATGTTCTACCACTTTCTTAAATATATCGCAAATTAAAGAAAGCAGATAACTGTCTTTGACAATAAACTTGTTAATATTTTCTACAGCATGCATATTACTAGTGCCACTTTTCTTTTTATTAACAGAAAAGAAATAGTAGGTGTATTAACCCATTTCTTTTTCAAGTAAGTCTCATTTAATCATTTTTTTAAGTAGTCTTCAAACACTTGAGCTTTTTCTGGATTATTAATTCTTATAGAATACAAGCATAAAAGTGAAACTTTTATATCACCTGTTATTACTTCATATTCTACTAAATTTGGTTTTTTTATCTCTGACAGATTGAAAACAAAGCTTCAAGTACTTCATCAATCAATTGCTGCTTTAATATTTTTCTTGTCTTTCAGAAACATTGAGCTCTACATCAATACTAAACTAGTTTTTTCTGTTATTCTCATAATTAGTGATATAACTCATTCAAAAAAATGCAACCCAGATCATCCAACAGGTGAACTCGCGGGTTACCCGGGTTGATTGACAGGTTCACCCGAGTTACGGGTTACCCGTTTGACCCGGGTTTTATTATAAAATTTTTTAGAGTAGTAAAACACTTTGAAATCTTTTAAAATCTTTAAGATTTTTAAAATCGAATACGTATAAGGTGGTTTAGATTACCCGAATTTGACAATGTAAAGAACGGTTTTATGCGTAAGAGTTTTATTTTAAGTAGTCCAATTTGTTTGATCTTTATTTTTTTAAATATTTTTTATTTATAGTATATAATAAATATATTAACCCCACAAATTTTTGCAGTAAACACTATTTCATTTTACAAATAATAATTTACTAACTATTTCAGGTGCCAAGCTAGTCCTTTTAGGGGTAATCTGATTTCCTGCATCAGAAAAAAGACATTTGCTTGGAACAGAGATGGCAGGAACGGACAAATACTTACATGCTATTCTACTAAGGTTTGCCGTTTATTACACCACCATTGATAGATATCAATGCTCTGAGGTTGAACTGGTGTAAGCGATATATTCAAGTAATTGTTAATTTCTATTCTATGATTAATTTGATCTTGATTTTGTTTAAAAATCTTTTCTATAAAAGAAGGAGTTGCTAATGATGATGAGCATGTTGGTTCTACAGGTTTGAGCGATTCATCTACTATGGATATATCCTCCCAGGTTTCAAATTCAGTACGTAACTTCTCAATTGTATCATCTCTTGTTATAGTTGACTATGTACTCATTTTTTTTAATTGTGGATCTAATAAGGTTGCAAGTAGCTCAATATCTTCTGGATTATCCCAATAGCGGCAAAGAGAATCGTAGAGTACTTTATTGAGATTTGAGATTATTTGTTGATTTGAGGGTAGCTCTTGGGTAACCAATTGTAGTATTTTATCCTCAGAGAATTCATCGATATTATTATTATTATCAGATAAGAGTTCATCTATTTCATCTAATTTTTTTTTTTAAAAAATAAGTTTCTAGATAAATTCGGTTTATTTTATTTTTTTTTATACATACTATCATCATTAATTATTCCTTCAATATCATCTAGCATAGTACCACTAAAAAACTCAAGTTTTAATGCTTCGATACTTGAGTTAACAACTGAAAGAGTAGCATATTTAATTTCACTAAAATAAGTTGTTAATTCATCAAATGGCTTAAATGTTTTTACTATTTTCTCTAATAGGTTCTATTCGGTTTCCTTAAGTACAAGACGGTTTAATTTATGAGAATCTTCTTTAGCACTATCCTCATCTTTCATATGTAGTGTTCCAGAAAGCCATATGATTGCTTTACGCAAAGCTAGGAGCCATTTCCACGAGTGGTAATTAGAATTCTACTGAGTTTTTGAATCAGTGATAGTACATAAAATTTTTAATTCCCTTTCTTCAAATATTTCTAAATCATCATTTTCCATTTCTACCTCAGGTAAAATTTCAGATGAATCTTCCGAATCAAATAATCAAATAGGGTTTGTACTAGACTTACTACATTCAATTTGTGCTTGATCAAGGCGTTGGCATTGTTTTGAGGATCGGAAAAACATGATAAGCCTGCAAATTTTTTTAGTATACGGTTCAATTGTTTTTAAAGCTTTATTTATCGTGAGTTGAAGAGTATGAGCAGAACAAGAAAGATGTTCTATATTATACATAAGTCTGATAGCCTTTTTTATGTTTGCACCATTATCTGTCACTATACAAAAAACTTTTCTAGATAATCCATAATCTTTTATCTTTTCTTCTAGATAGTCTCTTATTCGTTCACCTGTATGCGGATAGTCGAAGCGTTCAATAGCTAGTACTATATCACGTATCTCAAAGTTTGGAGTTAACTAATGAAGCATTACACCAATGTATCCATTATTATTACGGGACGTCCATAAGTCCGTTGTAATTGAAGCAGTTTCACAAGTGGTAGAAATTAATTCCTTAAGCTTTAACACTCCCTTTTGATAAGCAGAAAAAAGATCTATTTTAATACTTTTATAACTAGGTGGTATAAATGTCAGATCAATACGATTTATCATTTTTCTATATCCTTTTCCACAGACAACACTAAATGGCAAAGAATCTGTAACTAGCCATTTAGTGGTAACTCTTTTCAATTCTGCTTGTTTGGTTGTGCGATGTAGTTTTTTAACTATTTCGTCGATGCACATTTGGTGTTTTTCACCTGGCTTTACTTGAGATTCAGCATTTGGTGGTAAGATTTCATGATCTTCTAAAAGATGATTTTTCATATTTCCTGTTGAACCATCATGTTTATAATATCTTCCACATTCAACTTCATTACTTTTGTCAAATTTGATTATTTTACAGACATCGCATCCATTTTCGACTTTAATGTAAAGCCAAACATAACTCTTTTTGCCCAGAGGAGCATCCGATTTAGAGATGTTTACTTTAATTTTTTTCGTGGCTGATTCATCTGCAAATTTTTGAGTATTTTTTTCATTAATTACTTCTTGAATTTTATCGTTATGAGTATATTCAGTATCACTATCCATGGTTAATTTGACTAAAAAAAATTTATCACGTGGGTTTATTAATTGCTTTTTATTTTTTATTTTTATATTTTAACTCAAATACTAATACAAGAGTTAAATTTCTAAGGTGAGAATAAATCTCTTAAATAAAAATTTCAATTACGGGTAAAACTTTGAACATTCAAGATCTAATCTAAGATATCAATATTTCCTGCACAATACACAAAGCTTTGAGTAACTACAGCTATGGGCTTTTTTATTTCCTAATTTATGCACTGCCTAGATACGCAATTCCTTAATTATGATATTAATTGTAGATATTCTTTATGATCGTTTTCGTCAATTGGGCTATATCATCGGTCAAAATTATATGATGAATCATCAATTCTTTTAGCTGAATTTAAAGGACTATTTTGTACAATCTTAAGCTATGTATATTATCATCATTCTCTTTTCAGTAGGGCTTTGACATTGATTTAACTTTTTATCATGTTTCTTTTTTAGATTACGAACTGCATTGTTATTCTATTTCCTTTTAATCTAAGTTTTTATGCACTACCAAACTGAGTTAATTTTGTTCTCTTTTGGTAAGGCTTTGACATTAATTTGACTTTCGCTATTACCTTCCTTTTTAGATTACGAACTGCATTGTTATTTTATTTCCTTCTAAGTTTTCATATACTACCGTATTTGGATTATGCATTTGTATTTATGGCAAAGGATTTTTAGATTAGTGGATAGTAATTTTTAAGTGCGTTGACTAACCCAAAACAAAAATAATATATATAAATTTAAATTCGTGATTCGCGATCAAATAATTTAAATATGAAAGCCAGATTTCGGCTACCAAGTTTATTATTTATTATAATAAAAACTATTTCTATATCATAATTGTTTTACAGGTTGTAGTAACAATATGTTAAATTTTCATTTGAATGCTTATCCAACGTGTTTAGTGGATCAATAATTCTTAACAAGAAATATAAAAAAGTACTATATATTATTTTATAATAAACATATTACACGAATTAGAATATATGTCAAAAGAAGATCCTGTATATAAATAAAATATTACCTTTATTTGTATATATATACAAATTGGTTTGTAGCCCTTCAAATTGTCATAAGACTAGCTTTACGTCTAACCAGAGTTTCATCTCAGATTGTAATTCATAAAATATCCATTAGGTTTTTCATTAAAGTCTTAAAATATCTTGTTTAATGTTTAGTAAACATGGTTCTTCTGAAAGTAACAGGAGTTTTTTAATAACCAGAGACGGGGCCTTAGTTTTAATAATAAAAAAATAAAAAATGCATTATTAATATTATTCAATATGTCTATATTTTTGAAAATGCTTGAGAATTAGACTGATAAAAGATATGCTAACACTTAAGTGTTGGCTTTTTAAATTTTTTTTTCAATTATTTTCCAGCAAAGATGCTTTGAAAGTATCATATTTCTGTATTAAACTAGAGATATAAGATTTATATCTTAAATTGCGTATATATGTCGAATCGAAATAGTCAAATCAGCTGAAAAATCATTTAGCCAATTTTTGATTTGCAGATCACGAGTTGAGCAAATTCAAATTATCCGACGGGTTGACCCACCCGTTTTCACCCGGGTTGCAACAAATCCAACTCGGGTCACCTGCTCACCCGTGGGTGACCTGGGTGGGCCCAACCCAGGTTATATTACTACTCATAATTACCACAGTATCTAATTTTTAGATTATTCTATTATCTCTTTCTTTAGTTAAATTCCAATAAATGACTTGCCTTTCATAATCAGTGTTTATTAAATCTTGATCATTTATAGATAAGTTTCTTTGATTCCAACTTTATCCTTATTAATAGCTCCTTTCAGCATATTACTTACATCTAATTTCTCAATTTTATCTTTATCTACCTTTCTCACTAAATATACATCCTTCTCATTACTTAATTCATCATTATTCTTATTACTATTTGAACTCTCTTTATGAGCAAAATAGAAATAGTGCACCAATACTGATTATCATGCCACTTTAACTCATATTGGGCTTTTGTAATCCAGAGCATCCCTAAAAGAAGGTCAAAGCTCGCACTTTCCATCATATAAAATCTTACACTAACTAATATTCCTTTTATTTCTACTTCAATTCCAGGTGTAGCTAATAAATTTACTTATACAATTATTAGTTATTCTTCCTTTTCTTTCCACTTCTTGCTATTCAAAGCCTCTCCTCTTTGCATAGTCTATATGTATTAAATTTAATCAGTATCTATAGAAATCTTCTCACTATTAATAATAGCATTTTATGCAGGCACTATTTTATTTCAAACTTAATTAGTCTTTTCATTGCTTTAACAAGACTAATTTGTATATCTATTGTAACACATCACTTTCCTTTTTATAATATGTTAAAGATTTCAAGACTTTTGTTCTTGCTTTTGGAAACCACTTAAATAGTTGTTCCAATATAATGGTTACCTTTAATTTGGCAATTTTTTGCAACATGTCAAGTTCTTGAACCAATTTAGCTATCAGGATATATATTTTCATTTTCTTGGCTTGAGGTTGAAGTAATACTGTTGTATCCTTTTTATTAAATGGTTTTCTCTTTTTATTGGGAGTATCTTCCACCTCTGTATAGTGATGTTTTTTTAAAATCCTTACATTAAATAATTCTTGAACTAATTTAATTTCAATTCTTAAACAATTTTTGATAATTGAATCTTTTTCTTTTACAACCTTTTTTATAACTTGATGTTTTTGATTTTTTACAAATTCAAAAAACCGTATATCAGTTTTTTTAATTGGATGTTCTATTTCTCTTCCTTTACTCAACCCATCTTTGTCTTTTGCTTATTAGGACAGTTATGAGAGATGTGGCCCATTTTCTGACATGTAAAACATCTGTGTGGTTCAGAGTTTCTTTGCAATCTCAAACTCTTTGTTATATCATTCACTATTTTGGTAAGCTTATATATTATTTTTTTAACTTCTTCTAATTCATTTGATGAACAATCCATTATACAATATAGCTTAAGATTTCCAAATGCTTCTGTTAATTGAGTTATCTCAATATTCTCTTTTTCAGATTGAGATGTTTCTTGTGTAAATGTTTTATTAGCTTTCTTCACATCATATTCAATACATTTCTATGTTCTAAGTGATTTTTTTTGCCTTTGTATATGTCTTCATAAAGCATTCAAGTATTGTCAAAGGCTATGTGATATAGTAGCCCAGAAAAACTGTTTAATACTAGCCATCATTATAGAAATGGAAATGAGATCAAAGTCCTTGAAGTATAAATTTGATGACTAAAATGAAACCAAGTATCTAATCTGGGTAATGCTAACAGAATATATGCTGTTGGCTACTGTTATCAAAATGAAATTAAGGAATAAATATAAAATATTCGATAGTAATCGAAGCCAGTAGCAAATAAGTATAGGTTGATAGAATTTAAGACATTGAATACAAACTCGAATAGAAAATACAATTATAGAATTGAAATTGATGAGAATAAAGAGTATTAGAAAAGGTATAAGGTATTTGATTATCATAAAATGCCTGTCAATTAATAGAAGTAAGTATTCAACAGTTTACCAGATATTAATGAATATATATATGTTGTTGGACAACATTAACAAATAGTATTAGTAGATGTAAAATATATTAGGTTAGTAACAAATATTAGAATTATGAAATTGGAGTCAGAAAAAATAAATGAGTGAGTTAGTTCTTATTTAAACTGGGATTAAAAAGTTTAAATTAAGAGACCTGTACCCTATAGAACTTTTAATCTTGAAAATGATAAAGGTTCGATAAGCATAAAGTAAAGACATAATGATTTGAAATAGCTAACCTCAAAAGACCAATAAGACATGTAATTGTAGCTAGGTGTTGACACGTGAATAAACACTATGCTTGAAGAAGAGATGTTTTAGTCTTTTGAAAAATTATAGAGTTTTTAAATAATAATGAGCTTGAACAAAAATATTAACAAGTTGAAAAGTCAATTTATAAAAAGTATTATGATTTTATTTATCATCAAATTTATGCCCAGAGTGTATAAATTAAGTAGGAGGGTATTGTAATCTAGAAAATTTATATTTTATCGATCATATATTGATATTGCTATCACAGCAATTACAGTGTTATCGATTATCGATTTATTTGAGTGCCCATAGTACTGAAGGCTTTGCCAGTTTTGTCAGTATTACTATTGTTAACAATTTTGGCATTACTGTGAATACTTATAATAATGACAGAAAGGGTGTTATAGATATTATTGTCAGTATTGTTATGTATTATTTTATTATAAATAAAGGGCCTTTTCACCTCATTGCAATAGCAGATTCCAAGCATAGAATTTTCTAGTTTCATTGTACCTTATATTTTAAATATCTAATTTACCAATCTTCTACTAAGTTCTATAGTAGAAGTATTCTTGCATTATTTCCCAAGTGTGGCATTCTGTTGTATTAGAATACTTAATTTCCTTGCGAGATTGTTTTAGTGGTTAGAGTATTGATAAACTGAAGTCTGGATTACTGAAGCCTTAGAACTATTATACTCACCAAATCTGAGTGTCTCTTTCGATAGGCTTTCTTGTCAGCTTGGTGGTTGTTTATTTGGTTTTGCTAGTTGAATAGACTCCTGAAAAACTAGTTTTTTTCTGTATAACAATATTTTTATTTTTATTGCAGAGTTAAAGATTAATACAAAGTTATTTTTAGTACTATATTGAATATTTTTTATTGCATATGTGAATTAAATATATTATTGAAAAAACTAATAGAATAGGTTATGAAGCATTTAAATCCTGTGTATTGACAATAAAAAAAATCTTCCTAAAATTTTAGCTATAATCATCTAGCCAAAATACCTAAAGCACTGTTAGAATAATTTTATAATATGAACTTTCTTATTCTAATATTAACTATAAAAAGGTGTTAGAGTAATTTTATAATAAAACTTTCTCTTCCTAACACTAATAATCAAGAGCTGTTATAATAATATGAACTTTATCATCCTAACATTAACCATAAAGAGCTGTCAGAATAATTATTTATTATTTTGATTTCTCATATTATACTGGTGATTGTCTAAACTCACATGATTGCAGTCTTCTTTTTATATATAATAAAGATACTCAAATCTAACCTATCATATAGTTAGCTCTAGTCTCAAATAGCCTTTATATCGTTGTACTATGTATATACTTCTATTACGTGAAAGCTAACCAATTATAACATTCTACCAATATTGATATCTTATAGTCAATTTTGATTGGCTAGTTACATGCTGCGCCACAATAAATTTAAATTTTTAATCTGAATTTATTGACCCTGCCGGGTTAGAGAACCAAAAAATTAACTTGGCCTGGCCTTATAGCTCAAAATTTTGTCTATGAAACTACCTTTTGAGCTCTAACAAAAAAATTTTTTACAAAATTTTACTATAAACCTCATCTAACTCTAACCTTTAGCCTTTACCCTTATTCTAATATCAAAAGAATTAAATTCTGTTTGTTTTGATTTATATGTTATACCAATATTTAATATAAGATAATGACATGACACTATAGAACCATAAAAGTATTTCTAAAAATTGATTTTCTAAAGATCATTTGTTTTGTTGATTTCTCTCTTTTCTGTAACACCTAGCCATAATAAAATTTTTACAATTTAGTATTTATTTAGTTTTACTAATTATTTATCTTAGTGCTTTATAGCGCTGGGTCTGCTAATAAAAAAAAAAACTACCATATGTAATATAAAAAAAGATTTATAGCTTCGTAGTCATAAGGAAGTGAATCTATTCGTATTGAAGCTTTTGAAAAAAAATCAACCTGTGAACCTAAAAAAAAATAAAACCCAATTTTATATATAAAATGCATTATTTAATCAGGGCACAATCGCTTAAAAAATTTTCTATGATACCATATATTACTTTGGACTCCAATTTTACGTGACTAACTGCTAGTTGATATTAAATTTATTTATTTTTATAAAAAGGATTATGAGACGACAATTTAAGTTGCTGATAGAAAATATTTTATATTAAAAATTGGTTAAAAGATTTAGGTACAATAATGATATGAATTATTAAAAAAAAAACTTATAAATCATTGTTGAAAATCTATGTTCTCATGAGAACATGAGAACATGCCTTTAGATTCGAGAACATTGATATTATGTAAATATATTCTCAATAAAAAAATTTAAGAACATAATATCCGAAAAATATGCTCTCTGTAAGTATTTTATAAATGGAAATAAAATTAGAAATCCGAAAAGAAAATGAATGACGAGAAGGGTTTGGACAAAAATTTGAAATATTTTCCGAAATAAGAAATTTAAAAAAATAGGGATATAAATAAATTTTATTTTTGAGAACATAAATATAATTTCGAGAATATTAAATTAAATAATTTGTTCTCATGAGAACATAAATCTCAAAGCAGATTTCCAACACTGCTATAAATATATGTGGTTTGAGTATTAAATACGGTACATTATGTCGATTTTTACTTAGTGTTTACTATATTATAGGTCAATGTGTACACTCTTAAAATACTATATAAGAGACCATACAATTAGGAATTTCATTATCGGAATCAATCGGTGATTGTATGATCGGATATTCTGGACTGTTATTTAAGAAAAAATGATCACCTAAAGAATCTAAATACACTAAACTTGCAAAAATAAGATTACTATCGGATAAATCCCATTTATTACCAATAAAAAGATTTCTTTCATTTTTCATTAAATCCCTCGGTTCTTTCCAAGATTGTTTTGTTGGCCCCCTAACGATCTTAGGAGGTAACCTACCAATATCATTTCCATTAAAAATTGCACAATTAACCTCAAATTTTAATTGACTTTCTTCGTCATAACTGTCATAAAGGCTATTTTGGTTACAAAATATATTTATTAATTCCTTATCTGGAGATTGGCAAGAATAATAGCTAATTATCGATTTTGATTGTGCAAAATCATAGTTAGGATTTTTGTCAAGATGTAAAACGCAAGTACCAATCAAACAATGTTTTTGTATAATTGGTCCTTCAATTTTCATATTTTCACTATCCTTAGTCCAAACTCCTTCTAAACCCGAATTATTTGAAATTGGTTGAGTTGGAAGATCTTTATCATATCCAATAACTATCCAAGGAATTAAGATAACTATTTTGTGAATGGTTATTATGAGTCCTACTAATGCGGTGAATTGTAAAATATGGACTGTTATCAGTTTGGTAATCAATGCGGATTCCAAATACATCTTTAAAAGGTTTCTTAATATCTTTATTTAGAATTGAAGCGAATATTTTATTGTCTTTTAATGTTGGAATTTCTGGTGGCATAGGAACAGGTAAAGTAATAGGAAACTTAAAATTATAGCCTCTTGCTATATTAATTTATTCAACATTCGAGTATAGTACTTTCATGCCATTAAGCCGTTTTATCTCTAATTGCATTTCTTCTGGTAGTAATTCATAAAGCGAAAATTTATCTTTATATTCAATTATTTCCCACGTTTTATAGGATTCTAATGATTCTATCCATTCAGGCGTATTTCCATCATATCTGTCACCGATGCCACCAATGATCTTATGTTCATTTGTCATCTCTAAAAACTTGCCACCAAGTTTAATTTCATGCCACCCAAAAAATCCATAATCATTACCAATATTTTTTAAATTATCTTTTTTTTGAGTATCGTTATGATTCCCATCCAATGCATTATTAATAGCGTTAATATATTCTTCTGTAGCCTCTAAATCTTTACAGGATAACAATATTGTACCTTTGTGGCATGTTTTAGTAGTGTACTTGTTTAATACTATTTCATCACTACAATTTTCTGCTATTTTATCGCTTTGTTTTGTACAATTATTTTCAAAACTTTCTATCCAGAATTGCTCGATTTTTCTGTTTGATTGTTTAACTGTAATTTCAAGTTTATTTTCAATTATAATATCCTTCATATGTAAGTCTTTTATAGAAAATGCTGATGTATTTGCTGGGATTATGGAATTTTCGTCATGTTTATTATATCCTCTGTCCATATTAAGATTTCGCACAAGCTCTGGGACACAAGGGATTGTTTCATCTATTTCTATATGTAGGGAGTAAAAATCTTCTTCCAAAATTAAAATACCTTCAACATTATAATTATCTTCATCGCTATGAGGAATTTTCCTAGAAGCATTACGAAAAAAAGTATTTTTCCAACCTATAAAAGTATTTAAATCATTTTCAATCTTAGCCAAATATTTACGTGCATCTCCCAATGTCGCATCTCTGTCTAGATCATTTACGATATGAACTGTAGACATAACATCTTTAAGAAATATAACAATCTTTATTCGCTGATCATCTCTAGGACGTTTATACCGAGTAGCAAAAAGATCAAGATTCATTATAATAAAATATAAAGGTGCTGCGAAAAAAGAAAGGAAAACATCCACCATATATAGTAACTATAGTACACTCATTGTACGTGTAGTACATTCCGACTAAAGTCCGAAATCCTAATTCTGTTGTTACATAGAAAACATCACTTAATTAAATTACATTTATGACTTATTATTATGTCCATAAAAAGTATTGGTTCACAACATAGATTAAGCATTGTTTTCTTTACACAAATTTTCGACCAATCAGAAATACATATGTTTAAATAATAACGTAACGTGTACGGTATAATAGTTATGCGATTTCCGCAAATTCGGAAGTTAGTTTGAATTTCTACCGAACAACTATAGAAAAAAAAGAAAAAGAAATAAAGTGCATTTAAGGAGTGCTATCTACGTTACGTAATTTCTTTTTAGATCATCAAGTTAGTAGCAAATCTTAAAATTATATACGTACAGTACAACATATAGACATTAAAATACTTTGTTTTTTGAATTGATTACTATTGTAACAAATTCGTAAATTAACAACCACATGATATATATATTTTACTTTATACCTAGCTTTAGACGATCCCCCTTACTGTGCTGCACTTAATAATCGAATAAATATTTGGGGAATGATTTGCGTACATCGGTTTCGTGTAACTTCACGTTGGGGTGTGTTAAATTAAAGGTGACAATAGAAAAATCGAATATAAAATTGTGCAACAATCGCGAAAACCTATAGTAAAATACCAGATTTTATACCAAATTTATTAAAAAGTTTTAAAGTAATAAAAAAAACATTTCACTAGTTTAAAATACAGATCTTATTGAGTAACTGAGCAAAATTTCCAAACAAATTAATATGTAAGTTATGGGAGAGATACAATTTGAAATCGTATAGATATCTATATACTGTAACTTCAAATTGTATCTTTTCTATAAATTACATTAATTTAGTTGGAAATTTTGCTTAGTTACAGTAGGAATCATAAGTATCCCACCCCACGTGATGTGGCGCAGCAAGCAGATAAGCGAAAAATTTTTTTTTTATTTACAAATTTATAATGAGGCATGATCCTCAATACACAGTATAATCACCACCATTTTCTATTAGTGCTTCTACACGCTCATTCATACCACGAACCAAATTCTTCGCCAGGTCATTAGGTAATTGGTTCCATTCCTTCGTGATCAAACTTTTCAACACCCTTATAGTTCGGATTTTTTTTTTTGCTAGCTTAATTTTCATAAGTCCCCAGACGTTTTCAATTGGATTCATGTCGGGTGACATGGAAG